GCAGGCTGAGGCTGAGGCTGAGGCTGAGGCTGAGGCCGAGGCTGAAGGACTGAGGCTGAGGCTGAGGCTGAGGCTGAGGCAGGCTGAGGCTGAGGCTGAGGCAGGCTGATGCTGAGGCAGGCTGAGGCTGAGGCTGAGGCTGATGCAGGCTGAGGCTGAGGCAGGCTGAGGCTGAGGCCGAGTCTGAAGGCAGACTGAGGCTGAGGCTGAAGAAGGCTGAGGCTGGCTGAGGCAGGCTGAGGCTGAGGCTGAGGCAGGCTGATGCTGAGGCAGGCTGAGGCTGAGGCTGAGGCTGATGCAGGCTGAGCCTGAGGCAGGCTGAGGCTGAGGCCGAGGCTGAAGGCAGATTGAGGCTGAGGCTGAAGCAGGCTGAGGCTGAGGCAGAGGCATGCTGAGGCTGAGGCTGAGCAGGCTGATGCTGAGGCAGGCTGAGGCTGAGGCTGAGGCTGATGCAGGCTGATGCTGAGGCAGGCTGAGGCCGAGGCTGAAGGCAGATTGAGGCTGAGGCTGAAGCAGGCTGAGGCTGAGGCTGAGGCAGGCTGAGGGAGGCAGGCTGAGGCTGAGGCTGAGGCTCATGCAGGCTGAGGCTGAGGCAGGCGGAGGCTGAGGCCGAGGCTGAAGGCAGACTGATGCTGAGGCTGAAGCAGGCTGAGGCTGAGGCTGAGGCAGGCTGAGGCTGAGCTGAGGCAGGCTCATGCTGAGGCAGGCTGAGGCTGAGGCTGAGGCTGATGCAGGCTGAGGCTGCGGCAGGCTGAGGCTGAGGCCGAGGCTGAAGGCAGGCTTAGGCTGAGGCTGAAGCAGGCTGAGGCTGAGGCTGAGGCAGGCTGAGGCAGAGGCTGAGGCAGGCTGAGGCTGAGGCAGGCTGAGGCTGAGGCTGAGGCAGGCTGAGGCTGAGGCTGAGGCTGAGGCTGAGGGCTGAGGCTGAGGCAGGCTGAGGCTGAGGCCGAGGCTGAAGGCAGACTGAGGCTGAGGCTGAAGCAGGCTGAGGCTGAGGCTGAGGCAGGCTGATGCTGAGGCAGGCTGAGGCTGAGGCTGAGGCTGATGCAGGCTGAGGCTGAGGCAGGCTGAGGCTGAGGCCGAGGCTGAAGGCAGACTGAGGCTGAGGCTGAAGCAGGCTGAGGCTGAGGCTGAGGCAGGCTGAGGCTGAGGCTGAGGCAGGCTGATGCTGAGGCAGGCTGAGGCTGAGGCTGAGGCTGATGCAGGCTGAGGCTGAGGCAGGCTGAGGCTGAGGCCGAGGCTGAAGGCAGACTGATGCTGAGGCTGAAGCAGGCTGAGGCTGAGGCTGAGGCAGGCTGAGGCTGAGGCTGATGCAGGCTGAGGCTGAGGCAGGCTGAGGCTGAGGCTGTGACTGCAACTGCCGTTGCCACTGCGACTGTCATCTCGAATGCGACTACGACTGCGAGAACAGCAGAATTCTACAACTGGATTCTCATCTGAATCTTAAGGTGAATGCTTCCAGATATGCTCCTACACATCGCTGATAGGTTGCTCTGCCGGGATAATTGTATACCAAAACAGTTCCCAGGGAGGTGCGACCTGACCCTGTCGGGGTGCCCGCGCCAGCCCCGTCCGGCCGCCGTATGGAAGCGTCCCAAGAAATTCGAACGACGTGGGCGTTGTCGCACTGCAGACTTGGCAGTTTACGGGTGACCATTCCTGGTCGGGCTCCGCAGAGTCGTTCCCTCTGGAAACCTTCGGGGCATTTTCTTGGAACGGTACGAGTGTAGAAAACAACTCGGAGTACATGTTGCGACGCACGCCGACGGTCGTGACGTTCGGGCTCGTCTCCTCCTGCTCTCGCCTATCTCCTCTCCCGCCCACCCCCGAGTCATCAGTTTATGGATACATTCTTGTGGGGGCAGTGGGAGGAAGACGAGGCGGAACAGGAGGAAGAGAAGGTGGTGTGCGGAGAAATGAGGATAGCGACGACGAGGCGGACGACTGCGATGACCAGGATAAAGAGGACGCGCCCGACGACGACGGCGACGACGATGACGCTGATGAAGACGACGACGAAGTCAACCATGAAGGCGTTTGTGGATTTGTTGTTCCTGTGGGCTATGTTGAAGGTCGGTGGACGCTGTTGGAGTCCTCGTGGTGCCTCTTGCGGCACCGTTGGGGCTCTTTGGGGGGGTCGTGGGACCCTCTTGGGGCTCTTTTGGGGGTTTGGGAGGTCTCTGTAGACCATCTTTGAGGCCACGGCTCAAAAAGGAGCGCGGCGTCAATTAAGCCCCCCCTTCCTGAGCATGTTCAGCGGTCGTCTTTGGATGGGCAGCGACTGGGAACCAAAGCCGACCCCAGGTGCGCGACGCTTGAGCGATGTGCGCCACGCGTGCAAAGGGCGCCACGCGCGCCAGGCACCCCTGGGGCCCGAGCGTGCCAGGCACGCCTGGTGCGCCAGATGCGCTACGTGCTCCGAGTTCGCCATGTGCGCCGCACACCCCAGCCGCGCCAGGTGCGCCATGTTCGGGGCACGCGCGCACGTGACAGCACACATCGGGAAGCATGTCGGTCCCCGCCATCCTTGTCGAACACCAGTGCCCATCATTGTGCCTGGTGGGCCTTCGTACAGCAGGCCACGCGCCACCACCCCCGCCGTCCTTGTCACAAACCATTTGACAGTGATCGCGGGATGGTAACCCTGCGCATGTTTTATTGTTTTCTGTCATGGATGGTAACCCTGCGCACGGCAGGGAAATGCTGGCACCCCCGCGGGCCTCACGAACATGACTCAAGATTTTGCCCACAAGTGTAATTTGCATTGTTTTTGATAGGGAGGGGGGGGGCATCGGGTTGGCCGCGCATGCTCCAAATGTCGAGGCTGAGTGCGGTTTGTATTGTTTTTTGACAGGGATGGTGGGGGCGGGCCCTCATGGAGTCGGCATGGTTCCTGGTTGGACGCCGGCCGGGTGGGGGGAGGGGGTGTATATTAATAAGGAGCAGTGATGAACCCCTCCCCGAAAGGGGAAGAAGGGGGTGGAACAGAACGGACTCTCTAAACCACCTCCGCCCAGAAGGCTGGTGGGAATTGCGCGGCGCGTGGCGAGAGTTAAATACTGAAAACAGCCCGCCCTTCATCGTGAAATTGTTGTGAATGTGTAAGACGAATGTGCGCGGCGCGTCAGCGAGAGCCGCATGTGGAAGACCGCCCGCCCTCCATCCCTCCAAGTGTTGCAGACTTTGAAAACCACTGTGCGCGGCACTAGGCGAGAGCCAACTATTGAAATCGGCCAGTCCTCTATCCGTGAACCTGCTGTAAACTTTCAAGACGAGTGTCGGGGGAGCGTAAGACCCGGGTTTGCCAGGACTCGGGTTCGCCATCGTTTTTTGACGACCGCGCCTCGGATTTTGACGAGGAGGAGTTTCGTGGGATGTCTGCAGCGGGAGGCCTCGTCAACATGCAGGCTCGGCCTCGTCATTTTTTTTGACGACCTCGTCGGGAATTTCCGAGTCCCCCGTGCCCGGGTCTTACGTCTCCCCGAGAGTGTGTGCGGTGCTGCTGCCACACGCTGGAGACCACCCGCCCTCCCTCCGTGAGGCTGCTGTGCAACTTTTTCCGCCTCGGGGCCGCTCGTGGCGAGGACGTCTCTCCGGCGAGAGACGCCGGGCCCTTCCTAATCACGCGCATGTCTGGAGGTGGCGACAGGGAGGACCATTTGCCAGGAGAGAGATCGGGGATAAGGAGGAGGAGGGGGAGGAGGAGGGATACTTCGATGCTCGTTTTGGGGACCTTCCTGGGGCCCACCTGATGGATCTGTTCGACTCAGGTTCGACTCAGGTTCGACTCAGGTTCGACTCAGGTTCGACTCAGATTCGACTCAGGTTCGACTCATGTTCGACTCAGGTTCAGGAAGGACCATTTGCCAGGAGAGGGATCGGGGATAATCAGAGCGTGGATTACCTCCCCCGCTTTCGCTTCCAGGCAGAACCAAGTCATACCACGCGCCTCCTCGTCGAGCGGCCTGATCAGTACAGGCTGCGATTTGGCATCGTTTGGTATCTCTTGGAAGCGAGGGTGGTCAAAGGCGAGGGAGGTTTGTCTTCCCCCTAGATAAGGAGGAGGAGGGGGAGGAGGAGGGATACGCTGGGATGGGTACGGCTGGACAGGACCGGCGGACTCAGAACGCGCCGAGGACCAGGGCGAATCGGCCCGCGGCCCGCCAGCAGCCCAGCTGGGGCCAGCCGGCAGCCAGGGACACGGACAGGGGACCTCCCGCCACCACTGCCCGGGCGTCAGGCTTCAGCTTTATTCAGGAGGGAAAAAACACACAGACACAATATGGGAAAATATGGGAAGTGGGAGGGAAGACAAAAACCCAGAAAATGTAGGAAAATATGGGGAATCTTGTTATTTGTATATATTTATTTGTATGTCCCAGGGCCCCTTCAACTACTCTCGAGCCGCTGGGTCCCAGTCCCACTCGGCCTCACCAGCGGCTCCGCCAGCTTGGGAGGCGCCCGAGCCCGTCAGCAGCCCGAATTAAGGCCAGCCGGCAGGCCAAGCCGCAAGCCACGGGGCAGCACAGCCTCGGGTGCTTGGGCCAGGAGCTCATCTTGAGTAGCCGCAGGCCTGCGCGGAAAACATCATCTTGCGTCCGCCGCGCCGCTGAGACCGCAGCACAGGCCGGCGCCAGCTGTTCCGCGAGCCGCGCCAGGTTCTCCTGTGACCTTTCCCAGTCTGGCCTGCAGCTCAAGCAGACTGTCTTCGGCGGACTCCGACTTCTTCAGCCCCTTGCTGGCGCAGGGGTAGTCCTGCTTGGGCTCCACCGGCTCAGGCGCCAGCAGCGCACGTGGCCACCCTGGCAAGGCTCTTCTTCCTGCTTGGGCCCTTCATGCACCCGCCTGGCGGAGGCGGAGGAAAGGGAGCTGGAGCGGCGAAGGAAGGGGGATGCGGCAGCAGGAGGAGGAGGAGGCAGGGAGAGGACTCGGAGACGACGAGGAGGAGAGCACGGCGACCGCGACAGCTGCGGCGACCGCGACCTGCGGGGCTGCGCCGGGAGGCCTCGAGCCGGTTCCCACCGCCGCGGACGCAGTCGTTGCCGCACCTGGCCAGCCCCGCCGGGTGCGGCCGCCGCGCCGCCACCCTATGAGGACGAATCGTCCTCGTCGTCGTCGCCGTCGTCGTCGTCGTCGTCCTCGGCGGTGGGGGCCTATCGCATATCGCCCATCGCCTATCGCATCGGCCTCGTCGGCGACGGCCCCTTTCTCAGACCTCGCGCTGCGGACAGGAATGAATGACGACGGAATGTTTGCTCTCGCTGATTTGATCTGCCCCCTGGGGTCCTCTGCCGGGCCCCCGGCCCCTAAAAAGCTGGCCAAGGGGAAGGAGTCCAGGTTGCACGTTCTCGGCATCGCTCGCACGCGTGCTCCTTTTCCCTCGGCGAGGACCGGCGAGGAGCACCTGGGATCATGGTGCGAGAAAGACATGCACGAACCCGAGACAGCACAGGGAATGGTGATCGTTTTGTATTATCCTGGTCTTGCCGATCGGCGCGGGCCCACCAAACCCCTCTTCCCCCGTCCTATGGAATAGATCTTGGCTGTTTTTCCCAACCATCCTGTGGTGTTGGGTCCTCGTTTTGAAGAGACAGCGCCCTGCGTCCTCACTCCTCTCCTCCTCCCTCCTCCCCCCCCATCCCTCCTTCATCACAATCATCATCATCACCCGTTTCAGCACACCCCTCACACGTTTCGTGTCCCCAAAGGGAGCTCCACCGAAGGCCCCAATGGGACCGCCCGCTTGCGTCACGCACCAGACAGTACACAACGTTTCGTGGCCCCAGAGGGAACTCCACCGAAGACCCCAATTGGACAGCCCGCATGCGTCACGCACCACCCAGTACAGCGCTTCGTGGCCCCATAGGGAGCTCCACCGAAGGTCTCAGTGGGACCGCCCGCATGCGTGTCCCGCACACCAAGTACAGCGCTTCGTGGCCCCATAGGGAGCCCCACCGAAGGTCCCAGTGGGACCGCCCGCATGCGTCGCCCCCACCCAGTACAGCGTTTCGTGGCCCCATAAGGAGCCCCACCGAAGGTCCCAGTGGTACCACCACCATGCGTCACGCACACCCAGTACACCGTGGCCCCATAGGGAGCCCCACCGAAGGTCCCAATGGGACCGTCCGCATGCGTCCCGCACACCCAGTACAGCGCGTCGTGGCCCCATAGGGAGCCCCACCGATCCGTGGCTCCATAGAGAGATCCACTGGAGGCCCCACTGGCAAAGTCCACATGCGTTTCCCCCATCCAGCACACCGTTTCGCGGCCCATAGGGAGCTCCACCGAAGGCCCCAGTGGCAAAGTCCGAGTGCGTCTCCCCCACCCAGCACAACGCTTCGTGGCCCATAGGAAGCTCCTATGGAGGCCCCAGTGGCAAAGTCCGCATGCGTCTCCCCCACCCAGTGCAGCGCTTCGTGGCCCCATAGGGAGCTCCACCGAATAAGATACCCATAATTGCGGTATTCAGAACTACGAATGATTGGGTTCTTCGCCAGGCTAATTTGGAGCATGTTTCGAGCCGGTGGAGTCCCCCCCAGAGGCAACACTCTTTGCAAACAGTCGCACTAAGCAGAAGTCTGGAGCCAGACGCCCAATGTCGGAACGCCGAACAAAATACGCTCACCAGGGAATGGGCGTCCGAGCGATGGCGAGGCGAAGCGATCCCGACGTTTTGGAGCGCTGTATTCTCGGGCCTCCGGGAATCCTGAAGAAGACGACTCCGGCGGAAGTTTCCGGATATTCCCGCATGGTGCTCATGCACTTATCCTCCGCTTCTCGGGAGGGAGCACTGAAATATGTTGCACGTCGCACGTGAAGCGAGATGCTCCCGGAATGACGCCACGGATAGTCGATCTAACCTTCCCATCTTTCGGATTCGGAGAATGGGGGAGAAGGAGGAGCACTTTGAAATAGATAACGACGACGGTGAGAGGAAGGAGAAACATAAGGAGAATATCGAGGGCAACGGGGCGGTTTGTAGTATTGTCCCGGCTCTGTTTGGGCCCCCCTTCACGCAGCTGGGGTGTGTGTTTGGGGATTCTCGGGAGCCTTTGGGGGTCTTACTTGATCATGTTTGAAGCCTCTGGAGCGTATGGGGCCTCTTCGGGGCCTGCTGGCGGCCCAGGTGGCGGCCCCTTGGAGCTTTGTCGAGGCTCCCAGGGATTTTGGGGGGCCCGTTGGGTTTTTCCCCACATCCTAAGTGGGGTTCTTGTTTTCTCTGCACACCCTCCGCGCAGGATCTCTCCTCCTCCTCCTCCCTATTCTCTGCTCCTCTTTGCTTCCTCCTCCGCATCATCATCACCATCACCATCACTCCCCACTCATCATCATCATCATCATCATCATCATCACCATCAGCATCACCATCACCATCCCACGATCACTCACCATCATCGGCATCGAACGATCATCATCATCATAATCATCATCATCATCATCATCATCATCATCATCATCATCATCAACATCATCATCATCATCATCATCATCATCATCATCATCATCATCATCACTACTCGCTGACTTGAGGCCTGAATATGGAGGTATCAGGCGGGAGCCTCGTCTGTGAGTGAATTGTGAGGAAGTCTCAGGCGGGAGCCCCCTCCCTATGGGGCCCGCACTTCATGTTCGAATCCGAGCGGGTCATCCGCAACGTGTAACTGTCGTCACTTTTGGGCTCTTGAGACATGAATATGGAGGAAGTCTCGAGCGGGAGCCTCGTCTGTGAGTGAATTGCGAGGAAGTCTCAGGCGGGAGCCCCCTCCCTATGGGGCCCGCACTTCATGTTCGAATCCGAGCGGGTCATCCGAAACGTGTAACCGTCGTCACTTTTGGGCTCTTGAGGCCTGAATATGGAGGAAGTATCAGGCGGGAGCCTCGTTTGTGAGTGAATTGTGAGGAAGTCTCAGGCGGGAGCCCCCCCCTATGTGGCCCGCTCTTCATGTTCGAATCCGAGCGGGTCATCCGCAACGTGCAACTGTCGTCACTTTTGGACTCTTGAGGCCTGAATATGGAGGAAATCTCGAGCGGGAGCCTCGTCTGTGAGTGAATTGTGAGGAAGTCTCAGGCGGGAGCCCCCTCCTTATGGGGCCCGCACTTCATGTTCGAATCCGAGCGGGTCTTCTGAAACGTGTAACTGTCGTCACTTTTGGACTCTGAAGGCTTGAATATGGACGAAGTATCAGGCGGGAGCCTCGTCTGTGAGTGAATTGTGAGGAAGTCTCAGGCGGGAGCCCCCTCCCTATGGGGCCCGCAGTTTCATGTTCGAATCCGAGCGGGTCATCCGCAACGTGCAACTGTCGTCACGTTTGGGCTCTTGAGGCCTGAATATGGAGGAAGTCTCGACCTGGAGCCTCGTCTGTGAGTTAATTGTGAGGAAGTCTCAGGCGGGAGCCCCCTCTTTATGGGGCCAGCACTTCATGTTAGAATCCGAGCGGGTCATCCGCAACGTGTAACCGTCGTCACTTTTGGGCTCTTGAGGCTTGAATATGGAGGAAGTCTCGAGCGGGAGCCTCGTCTGTGAGTGAATTGCGAGGAAGTCTCAGGCGGGAGCCCCCTCCCTATGGGGCCCGCACTTCATGTTCGAATCCGAGCGGGTCATCCGCAACGTGTAACTGTCGTCACTTTTGGGCTCTTGAGGCCTGAATATGGAGGAAGTATCAGACGGGAGCCTCGTCTGTGAGTGAATTGTGAGGAAGTCTCAGGCGGGAGCCCCCTCCTTATAGGGCCCGCACTTCATATTCGAATACGAGCAGGTCATCCGCAACGTGCAACTGTCGTCACTTTTGGGCTCTTGAGACCTGAATATGGAGGAAGTCTCGAGCGGGAGCCTCGTCTGTGAGTGAATTGCGAGGAAGTCTTAGGCGGAAGCCCCCTCCCTATGGGGCCCGCGCTTCATGTTATTAATCCGAGCGGGTCATCGGAAACCTGGTTGTCTCAACGGCCCAGCCCGAAGGTTTGTCCCGACGGCTTCGCGATCTAGCCGTCGGCAGGCGCGCGCGCGCTGGCCGAGGCGGCGACGGCGCTGAGGAAAATTGATTTGCTTGCCCCGGCGAGGGGGAAGGGGAGGCGCACATGGAGAAAAGGCAGGGGGATGAGGAGGGAAGGGGCATGGGGGAGGCCGACGACGAGGAGGAGGTGGCGCGAGAGGAGGAGGAGGAGGAGGAGGAGGAGGAGGAGGAGGAGGAGGAGGAGGAGGAGGAGAAGAGGAGAAAGAGGAGGAGGAAGAGAAATAGAAGGGCGAAGAGAAGGCAGTGCAGGGGGCGAGAAGAGAGGGTGTCCGCCAGGAGGAGGGGGAAATGGCAAAGGGTAAGCTAAACAGATTCTCATGTGGGGTCCTACCGTCGGAGTATTTTTTTGCTTGTTGGAGCGGGTGGGGGGACCTGGCGGCCATTTTCCAGGAAAGGGCTCCCAGGGCCTATGCGGGTTCCCCCTCTTGGGCCTCTCTTGGGGCCACTTTCCATTTTTGTTTGCCGTCTTAGGGGCCTCTTGGGCCGTCTGGGGGCCCGTTTTGGCCGTTTCCGGGGCAGTTTGAGGGTCTCTTGGGCTGGCCAGTCTGGGGAGCCTCTTGGGCCGTCTTGAGCGCGCAGACGCCAGAGAGCCGAGAATTCGAAAATCTTGCAACAAGTAGTGGCAAGTCCATGTGTTTTCCCTCTTGAGGCCCTCTGTGGGGGGTCCACTTTGGTTTTTGGTCGGCCAGCCGTCTTGAGACTATCTTGGGCGTTCTTGAAGGTGTTTCATAGTATTTGAGCCCTTCTGGATCCCCCCCCAGGGGTGACGAGGGGAGCCCAGGGACCCTCCCCTCGGTATAGGGGCATATCCCGGCCAGTCGGGGCAAGTCCTGGCCAGTTGGGGCCAATCCCGCCGGCAGCGGCACCGATTTCGGATTTATCTAGGTTCACTTTGATCCCGAGTTTGGGCGAGCCGGGACAAGGACCACTCCCGTGCGCTATGCTCTTATGAAGTTTCGACGTGATGACTGCGTTGAGTCGGCATCGATGTCGAGGTTGATGATAGTGATGCTTGCGATGCTGATGCGTTACGTACACGAAATATGTACGAATCGCGAACGGAACATAAACGCAAGGTAATTGAAGTGGTGCCCTAGGGATGTCCTCAGGGATCCGAAGATATCTTCAGATGAGCCCCCGTAGTAGTGGTAGTGGCAGGTGCAGTAGCAGAAGTAGCAGTAGTAGTAGTAGTAGTAGTAGTAGTGGTAGTAGTAGTAGTAGTAGTAGTAGTAGTAGTAGTAGTCGTCGTCGTCGTCGTCGTCGTCGTCGTCGTCGTCGTCGTCGTCGTCGTCGTCGTCGTCGTCGTCGTCGTCGTCGTCGTCGTCGTCGTCGTCGTCGTCGTCGTCGTCGTCGTCGCGACGTCGTCGTCGTCGTCGTCGTCGTCGTCGTCG